AAAAAAGAAAACAATTTTCTACCTAAATTAATATGAAATGAAAAAAACAACTGAAGGTTAAATTTTATATTAAAATCACAGACAAATACAACATATCTTGGGAATAAAAACAAATTTTTTCAAATTGCAAATATAGTCTTAATGGGTGGTCCTTTAATAATAAATAATATTCACAGTTAAATAATTCATTGATACTAAATATAGGTAGYAAGACTAAAATGAATTGAAAATATTTATTTTATTAAAGATGTCCTCATTTTTACTGGTAAACATCCATTGCATACYAGTTGCTCAGTYTACTTCTTGTACTCTGAGCAATTCAGTTCAACTTTATTTTTATTTTCAGTTGTAAATTATAATATCATCATTAGTAGTTCATGGCGTTCGCCGTTCATGCTCTTAGCTAGCATCCAAACCACATACTTCTATAATAGCATAGATGTCTGTGATCCAAACTCGCCGAGCGATTCTGCCGATTCTAGTTCCTAGAAGAGTATATGATGCTGATGTGGTTAATACTGGTTTTCTTTGGGACAACTTTTTTACAACCTTCAGTCATTCAGTCTTCAGTTCTTCACATGGAATATGGAAATKAACTTACTAGTTTCTGCYGTTTCTGGACTTAAGGCTTCGGGTTTAAGAACCACTTTTGAATTTTGGGGATGCTGCAATGCGTGCATCACACAGCACTTATTTTCAACGTTGGTGTCACTGCTTACTCGTTCAAAATAAAATTGCTTATCATTTTTCCGACAACTACCACTGAGTAGATAAAAATATACTTCCTTATTATATATAGTTACTCCGGCTAAACAGTTAAATAGATAATAATACATAATATTTTATTATTATTTATTTATTGTTATTTATTACTTATTAGTATTATTTAAAGACGGATAATGCCCGTCAGACACCTATTATATAAATTAATGAAATTATTCAATTTAAACAAATTAAGGCCAACACTAGTTTGCAATGTTATTTAATATTAAATGTTACAGTTTATATGTGTTCGAACACRTTAGGTAGCCATTGAATTGAACACACATACACGACACCATCTTTGGGCACATAATCAAAGTCTAGAAGATGGATATTTGGAAATATATCGTTAGGATAAAGATACCCAGTCCGATGAGCTACGTGAGCACGATCCTTTTATTAATCTTCACAACTGGTGTCTACAAACAGTTGACGTTAACCCAAAAAACTGCCAACAATTGTGAGATGACATTTATGTTCGAATACCCTCATTTTGTCGTGAGTGACAACGGTTTATTATTTACGCCCATCATGATTATGATGATTATGATACTAATTATATTTAACAATTAAGCCGAATTAATTTCCTTCCTTTCCAGGAAATCTCTGTGCCCATGAACAGGGGRAAGTATAATTTGTACGCTTACACTGAAGGCCAAACAATGGAGAAAATAAAATCTATGAAGTTTTATGGTACGCCAGTAATTTTTATACCTGGACACAGTGGATCGTACAGACAAGGTAATCATAGTAATAACTAATAATACCATTATYATTTATATATAGTTTTTGAAAAAAAATTTTTATTTACCTTTTTATGTTTTATTTATTGCAGTTCGGTCCATTGCTTCAGTTAACATTAGAAAGATGTACCATATTCAATCAAATATAAAGTTTGATTTTTTTACTGTTGACTTGAACGAAGAATATTCTGCTGTCTTTGGAGGTGTTTTATTACAGCAAACAGCATTTGTTTCCAAGTGTATTGATACAATCATAAAAACATATGAATATGACTACAAACCTACATCAATTATACTTATTGGACATTCTATGGTAATATATAATTGAACTTACAAAAAAAAATTATCATCTTAAAAATATGTAATTGTGTAGTTAACTGTCTCTTTTTTTTCTCTGCCATACACAATAAGCGGTATACTAAAACTGCTCCGTATTACATTTTTTGTGAAAACATTGTTAACATTAAAATTCTTTTGGATGTTTTCATGCAAACCAGATAATCACWCAAAAAGTATTAGGCACAAACTTTTTTTTTAAATTTTTAATTCTTATAAWTTTTTAACTTATTTGTTATCACTACATCATTCTGTGTAATTTACATAGATGGTGGCTAGGTGCTGGCTGTCTTTAATTTAAAATTTAAAATTTAAGATCAATATTTTACGTCTAATAATATATGATATGATATAATATTGTATGTAATCTAATCATAGAAAAATGGAAATTACTTCTTAGAATGTTAAATTGTATTTTATTATATTACTATCATGTTAGTATGTTGTTGGCTATTATATTGTTACAATATTTTTTTTTGTTTCCAGGGTGGTATTATAGCCAAAGGATTGTTCATTGACCCTTCGTTTGATACCAACCTCGTAGAATTGATTATTACTCTTGCTACTCCCCACAGGCCTTTGTTTTTAGCTGATCACTATATGGATAGTTATTATGATCAAGTGGAAAAAATTTGGGGGAACGGATTAGATAAGCCAAGGTCTTCATTTCTGTCAAATATTTCACTACTATCCATTGGCGGCGGTCATCGAGATTTAATGGTTTGGCCTTGTCTGACGTATACTCCACATGCTGACATTAATGCATTAGTAAGAACTTTATAAATTAATATTAAATTACACTTAGAAAGATTTTTGAATTAAAATATTTTATTGATCTCCAGAGTTTAGCCATACCTGGTGTCTGGACTTCTACTGATCATCAGTGTATATTGTGGTGTAAATCATTGGTCAAATCCATTGTAAGAGTGTTATTTGACTCCGCAGAATCCGAATCGAACGATTCAATTTATGAATGGAGAAAAAAAGTATCTTCTTATCATTTTGACAAAGTATGTAAAAAAAATAATTTAACTACATAATAGCTTATAATAGATCTATTTGATCCACAATACTCATTAGTCATCTGTGACATGAGTTATTTTATGTTAAACTTGTATATTAATTTTCAGCGAAGTAATGGAAAATGGTTTCATTCTAACTTGCATCCCATTACTATAAAATTGAAAGAACCCAATGTGATTGAATGGAATGAAACATATAAGCATCAAAGATCAATTTCATTGGAGAAAGGAACTGCAATGCCAATTGTCATTCATCTGCCTTTGTTTGAAAAATCTGTTAACTATGAAATGACAGCTGAAGCTGTAAATATTGAATACCATGATTGGGTATTTTCATGTAAACCTGATCATCATTCAAAAAAACATTGGTATGATATTCAGTTAAAAAGAATAATTTTCTTTAAAATTCTAAATCGTATTGTTTTAGTTTATTTGGCACCAATTGGTCCTCTAATAGTACTATATCAGTTTCAAARCATATGAAAAGAAGACATATTACTTTAAAGATGCCTGACATATATAAATTGGGTCATTCAAACTTGGTTTTCAAAATCAAAAATACTAAAAAACCTGTAAGTTTTCTTAACTGTAATAAAAATAATATAATAAATTAATAATGCTTTTTTTTAGACTGCTTTGAATATTGACTTGTATGAAGCTAGTGATAGAACTAATCAAATTTTGTGGCGATTTTGGTATGGAGTTTTTGATAGACATCTGTTATGGAAAGTCAATGTTTTTGAAACGATTCAGTACAAAACTATTCTGCGTGGTTGGTCATCTAGTATATGCATGCATTGTGTGTATAATGTGCACATGGTACCCATAAAATGCTCTAAAAAACATCATCATGCTGTTTCTAAATTTATTGTACCGTGGACACAAGGTGTTTTGCATGGTATCACCAGGTAAACAAATTATCGCCATCGGCAATTTCTCGTTAGCATTTAAGTGTGGTGTTGATGATCTTACATCTAATTTCAGTGACAGTTATATAGAACCTCTGAGAATATCTTTAGAAAACATTCCTCTATCAAATACATCAAAAAATCCATATTTGCAATTCATATTAGACCCAACTTGCAACTATCGTATTGAGTAAGTAAAAAAAACCAACTGTGCGCAGTTGTAATACAAATTTATTGACTTTTAGATTAGATCTATCTATTATGGACACAATTGGAACAATAGGATTGAAATATGGATTGACATTTCCCTCATACATTGGAATTATAATACTGTTTGTATTGTCAAATCAATTTTCACAATTGGCCGATTCAACTATAGATGATTGCTCAATATATCACTACTCCTTACCATCTATAATTAAAGTTTTCAAGATGTTAGCTGTTACAACTTGTTTTTTAACTGCTATGTAAGATCGTTAAGTTGATTCATTTTCATAATTAGGAATTCTTGAGTTATAGTGGTATTTCTTTTCTAGACAATATCAGTGGCCTAACATCAATAAACCAATTGGTGGTATAGACTGGCTTGGACATCCATTAAAGACAATGGTGTTTTCATCATTGCTATATTGTATAACCAATTCATTTATGTATTTTGCTACTGTAGCACTATGGATGATGATGTTGTTTTGGGGGAAAGYCATAAATGAACTGTTGGTCCGGTAAATACTATAGATATATTTTTTTTTTCTTAATAATAATCAATTGTTTCATGTATTAACATTTTTACAGGTTTATAATGAAAACATTGCAGAAAAATGCTACATTATCTGACTGGATATTGTATGGATTTGGAAAATTACCAATAGCTGTTTCAATGATAGCCATTTTAATTTCTTACCATACTTGTGGTACTGTTGGACTTGTTATTTCAGCGTTTTTCTATTATTTCTTAGTAAGTTAMTTAATTTTATTAGTTAAGTTTATATATTGTAACTATCCTTTATTTTAATGTAATATTATCATTGTGATAAGTTTAGTGACATCAATATCCAGTGTATATTTCATTCAATAATTAAAAATATAGTTTTTTATCATAAAATTGATTAAAATATAAAAAACAACCAGTGCCGTATCTAGGCATTGGCAAGGTGGGTGGTGGCCAAAGGCCAGTTTAAAATGATCGYGCTAGGGGCGCAATTTTTATATCATATATAAATACTAAAAATTCATTTTAAATTTATAACATTKGTTGCCAAGGGCGCACATAGAGCTAGTTACGGCACTGAAAACAACTAACGGTTATTTAAATACTTAATGTTATAGCTATGTACAATGGTACAAGACTGCATTGACCAGTTGATTTATTATCCAGTGATGTTTTTCAAAGATTATTTTATAAAAGGCGAAAAACCCAGTTTGAATTTATCGCTCACATCCATCCACATGCATTTTTCACTGTTTTTATTGTGGTTACTAATTTGCGGTTGTCATCTGCCATGTAGCATTGAATGGGCACGGAATTACCAGTAATATTTTATATTTGCTTTGAATTAAATTTAGAAGTTCATTTTTTATAACTGTTACAGTCAAAGCAAATACCTAGATCCAGATCCATCATGGATTTCCTCCTTAATACTAAATACATGTGCTGGTATTTTATGGCAGATGAATATCCCCAAACGTAATCTGTGAGTAACAATTAAAAAAAAATTAATTGTATTATGATAAATATAATGTGTGTTTGTTCTAGGAAATTCTACGCACAATTAAGTAACCTTTGTATGGTGGCTTCAATTATTTTGTTTTTGTTCTGCCAGACTGCATTATTTCGAATAGCTCCAATTTTAACATTGGTTTTTTTAATCATCACTTTGCATCAGTGTTTTAGTTCTTGGATCGGAGTACAAGATTTGATTGATAACCAAGTAAATAGTGCTAATGATAAGATGCCACACAAAAAAATGGAGTAGATTAAACATTTCAGTAAGTTTATAATAATATTATATTATATATGTATAGTTGTTTAAGGTGGACTGGCAAGAGTGTGTTAATCGCACCTGGTTAGTTTGATGTTGGGATGGGGGCTGACAATTATTTAACAATATTAAATTAAGGCTTATTACTTTAAGTTAATGATTGTGTAATTCTGGTATGCATATCATTCAGTACGTCCCTGATAGTTGATTCTTTTATTTAACAGTGAATACAATTTTTGTGTTTAGTACGAAGAAACAATTTTATAACTTCTTAATCTATTTTTCATTTAMCTCTCATGTGAATTATGATTCATGTGCTACTAATATCTAAAAATAGAACTATTCAACATTTCAGTACATATTAAACAATATTAATTTATAAACATAATAATTTAGTGCTTACAACAGTATAGGTACTTAGTGCCAGCCATCAGTATGACTTTCAGTGTACTACTACCACCATTTAGTCTTATTTACCACAGTTTGAGAACCACCTTTATATTATAAAATATAAATTTTAACTTGATAGTCTTAAATAATTTTTAATGATAATCTTGTTAATTGTATAAAATTTAAGACCAGTGATACTCAACATGTTTTTTACGGGTTAATTCCTGATTTGCCTACGCCCAATTTTTAGTTGAAATAAAATATGCATAATACGATAAGGTATTACTAAGATTTATATGTTACATTTTATTGTTTGCTTGCATGTATACAAAATTTTACTATTTTGGCCCACCATAAAAAAAAAGTTGGATATAGCTAGTTTAGAAGTGCATATAATGTGTTAATATCAGAGTTCATGGCTATCACAATTTAAAGCTCATACAAGCGATAAGTCTCTGATGCTTTATGTGTGCATGTGTGAGGAAAACCATWGCATATTTAGTTGTTGGTTGCTGATTGATATTAATAATTACAATTTTAGAACCAAATGATTAGTGATCAATTAATATTCCACACTAAACAATATCAACTAACAAAAATTATTATAAAATACTAAAATCAACAATAAAAATTGTTAAGCATGCTCACCTTACTTTTATCTATTAATAATTATGCACACCTATACTCAAACTATGAATTTTAAATTCTTAATTAAATTAATTTGACCATATTTTCAAATACTTAAGATTTTTTGACCACTTTAGGATGATCTTGTGACAATACAAACTTCCTTGAATCCCTCCTTTCCAACATAAACATTTTAATAATTCAGMAACTACTTATTTGAATTGTTATTTAGATGTACCAACTTTTTTGAGAAAATCATCCACTAAATAATGATAATATTTGGATTTAATACGAAATAGTAATTAATGTTTTGAATAAAAAAAACAACATAATATTTTTTATATAGGTTATGGTTTATGTCACTTCTACTATAACTGTTTTATCACAATATTGGAAATTGTAAAAATAAAATAATCAACTAAGATATTGTGTTCACTGTTAAAGGAATCTCTGGCTTTAAATCATTCAATTTATATATACAGTGGCTAATAAAAGTAGTTTTGGTTGGGGTCGATGATGAGATTAGATCCYCTGGAGCCTTTTTAAAATTATTATGGTGTAATGTACCTACCCTAGTATACTATGTGTAAAACTTTAAAGGTATTTATGATATGAGTAGATGAAAAGTGGTGATCATAATTCAAAGGTGCTCAAGTGTCTCTATCTTTATTTTTCAAATGTTCAAATTAAAATATTAAGTATTATATATAWTGAAACTTGAAATGATCAACTATAAAATTAAGAACTTGATTAAACTAACAAATTATCCATGCCTCAGAATAAATAATTAATAAATAAGTATAATACCACTGTATATATTTATGTGTGTGCGCGCGCGCGGTTGTGTGTGTGTATTATTGAATTGTGTTAGGTTATTTTTATTTATTTTTACATTTTATTTAACTCATACCAGTGTCATTTCATGTTTTTAAAGACTGATTCATGTTTTTGATCTATTTATGGTTTTGTTTAGCATTTTTTTTTTCTTGTATTTATTTAGTTAATAATATATTTTATTGAATTTTGTTTAAATGTGATTATTTGTTGTGAACAATTAATGTTGTATTTTTATTATCTATATGTTTAACCATAACTCTAAGTCATATACAATCTTCTAGTCAGTTGTGTATACTCAATAATTTTTAAATGTAAACATAAATATCCATATATTATGATGTCTTTTACATTTTGTTACTTATTACTCATTAGAAATAGATTATAATGATTAAATGTATGAATGTCTATATTATACCAATTGTTTATGTAATGTTGTGACATATATATATATTATACATATGTAGAGCGCAGATTTATATGCATTTATATATTTATTCTGGTTGATTGTATGATATGCTGTGCAAGCATAAAATGTGTTTCACATCGTAGTAACGATTTAAAAAAATAAAACTATTTTTAGTGCATATTTTGAAATTCATACATTTTTTCTATTTTAAAGACAAATTTTACAATTTATTGCATATTTAATTTTTAGTGCATATTCTGATGGTTTTTTAGACATTCTTGAAATATATAATATTGTAATATAAGAAAAAAGTATTATATTTTTGTATTTTTGATTAATCTCAAAATAATTTAATAAGTATATTATTGTAGGTGTGGGGGCGTATGTAATCTGCCCCAAAAGCACCCCCCTCCTAATTTTTTTTTATCTATTTAAGTCATTTGCACCACATCTTAAAATTAATTTTTGTAATTTGTGCMATATAAAACTAAATATGAGGGCATTATGTAATCTGTGTCATTTTTTAATTTCAAAAATTGTAATTTTTTTCCATTTTCAAATAACTAAACATTTTTTTCACAGATTAAATAATTATAAACAAAAGTATATTAGTAAACGTACGTTAAATAAAACGGCTAAGTACAATTTCGGATATTAAAAAATATATAAAAATCAGTTGTCATATTAAAATAATTATAAACAAAATATTAGTAATATTACATATTATTATAAAAATATAATTAATTAGACGTAATCGATCTCGTATTATAGTCGTATCTACTTATTATTAGTAGAACTCAACAATATTATATCTGACACGCGTTGATATTAAAGTATTATCGTATTTCCAATGCAATATATCAGTAAATGTATCTGATGGTAAACTCCAACAATTAAAGTTGAAAGTGTGGCGCAGATTACAAAGTCCATTTCATTTTTTGTCGTGATGCAAATTACCAAAATAAATTTTTAGAYGTGGTGCAAAATACCTGTTTAATTTTTATATTTCGGCATAAATTACATACCCATTAATGTACCTATTCGTGGCGAAAATAAAAAGTAATTAGATTGGTGCAAAATATCATCTCTCGTAGGTATAAACGGTTTTCCCGAAGATCTTAGACCTTAAATCAATAATCGGTGTAAAAAGATACGTGATATTAAGATACCTGCACTATACCATGACAAGAAAATATCAATTAAGATAATAAGATCCTTTACCATTGACATTATTTCAGAAAAAAATGAAGAGAAGTATTTGTAGACTAATTTGTTTATGCATATTTAAGATTTTTTTTTTATTATTATTAATTGTTTATGGCATCAACTACATGGTTATTAGCCGGCGTTACATATTAAATTTACATTAATTACTTACATATTTTCTTTCTACTTATTACTTATAATTAAGGATTTTATTTTAATCTAAGTTAGAATATTTAAATCAGTTGACGCCGTTCTGTTGAGTTGACGAAATTGAGGAGTTTATCTAAGATTTTTTATTGCATATTTGGTTGGTTTTTTTAATGCATACAAATCTACGCTCTATAGGTATATATATATGTATATATTAACAACTATACAATAACTTATTAGTACATACTAATACAATCTTTGTATATTATGTTTTTGTGTCTAATAAAAACATCGAATAAAATTTTAAATTAACATGTTATATTTACAGTTATGTCTACCCTTTTTACAGTTAGATTTGTAGTTAAATCTACTGTGTGTGGCAAAAGTATTCTATTACTAAATTAATTGAGTTGTGGAAATGTTTCTTAAAATATTTGTGCATTATTGTGAATCGTGAATGCAGTGGTGGGTTTAAGGGAGGAGCTATGGGCAGTGGCATATATAGGGGGGGCCTAGTGGGCTGCAGCCCCTCCCGAAATTACAGTATTGACTGTTAACTATATTGTAGTCTCTAGGTGCTAGATAATTATTGTTAGTCACTATATATTATAGCCCACCCCAAAAATTATTTCTATATAGGTACGCTACTGGCTATRGGGGCATTAGCCCTCCTTCCCCCTTTGGACTAAGCTATTAATTTTTTAAGACAAGTATTATGATATACCTATATCAATTATTATTATAAAATATCTTCATTGAAGAATATGGTCTCAACAGATAATAATATCATTGAACGATTTTCAAAAGTTAAAAAAAAAGAAACTTGTAATTAATAATGTAATACCTATAAATCTTTTTTTAAATAAACAGTTCATTTTTGTTATTACTTTGATATAAAATTACTTTTATACATGGTTTCAGATGAAAATGTATAGTAATATAACTATTTAAAATATGTTTTTATTGTGAAACAAATACATAAGCGATAAATGTATTGATTTTACGATGTTTGTGTGTGTGTGTACTCGATAAGTTGTTGAAAGAATGCTTCGATGTTTAACTTCAGTAGCTTTTCCAGTTGGAAAGTGAATCTAGTTCGTGCACTAGGGAGGTCAAAGGATTTCCCTGTAGTTTTCAAAAGCACCGGGAAAAACAAAAACAAACAATTAAGGGAAAACGGGAATTTTTATGTAAAATCAATTTTTGAGAAAATCAAATTTTGATATTAATGTAATTCTAAAACAAATTACTGTAGGCACATGCAATATTCATTGAATGTTTATAATGGCATTTTCTATGTATGATAAAATATTTCAAATCTTTTGAAGTTATTTATAGACGTTTGAAATTTTCGTTTTTTTTTGTTTTTTTTATAAATGACTGTAAAATTTTATTCGGTTGGTAAAAAAAAACTTCAAAATTTTGTATAAAGCTCCAAATATATTGTTACATTGACAGTTAAAAAAATATTATAAAATAGTCACAATTTTTTTTAATAAACATTTGAAGTTCGAATTTTAACAAAATACGTGCTATAAAAATGCAAAACAACTACTTCAAAAATAGCATATGTAGGTAGTAGGTAGATAATGGCGTGTTCGTTATATTAAAATGCGTTTTTAAAATATGGTTTTGTAAATTATGTTAAAACGGTGGCTATATAATATATTTATATTATATATCAGAGGGGCGGYCACTAACCTTATTTTGAGAGTCGCAAATTATAGAAGCTTATTCGAAGCGAACCTATTGTTAAGATATGTTTGTAAAATAAAAACATATTTTTCATTTTATTAAAAATTAAAGATCATCTATTTTTTACACTACTCAGACTATTATAATAGCCGCATGCCTCTCGCGAGCCTCGTTGTGAGCTGTGGCCATCACCCCTGCTATATATTAATAGTTAAGCTACACAGAATGATGTATTCATATGATCATACTATACATTTTGATAATCATAAAACTACATACTGAATTTTTACTTCATTAATGCACCTATATTACTGTATATATATATTATGTTTTATTATATCCATTAATATGGCAATATGACAAGAAAATAGTTTATATGGTAAGATAATTAYTATAATAATCTCCATTGTATCAAGTTTAGGTTAAAGATTCGCACTTGACATGACGTAGTCGAGTTCAAATCGTTTGGATTGTTAATCGATATTGATTGCTTTTACGTGGTCACAGAAATCTACATGCGTTATTTGTACCTATCTAAGATTATAATAGGTATTACTTATTATATCGGTAGGTACACCTATATAAACATTATTGTGTGCCTTTAAGGCTTTAAGTTGCTTCGTAATCGTTAATCTACAGAGTTAATAATACACGAGTAGGTGTTTATTATTTTGTATATTTTTAACTAGTTACCTAGATAATATGAAATCTACTCGAGATTACTGAATAGGTGGGCAYTCACTCTATAAACTTAAACTAAGATACATATTAAATACTTATAAGTAAACAACTTAAATGTTTTCGCGTTTATCTTTATACATATACGATATTACCTATATTGAACTTTAAAGCGAAATATAAATGCCGTGACCATTTACGTGGCCACTTGACGTGTCGTCACCATATCAATCATTATCATTATATTATTGTTATGTAGACACTTTACTATCTACGAGTTATTTGTCAAACATATGATATCAAGTGAGTACCTAAAGTACTATAATTACCTGTACAATAATATTATACCGCAGAGACAGGTGAAAATACTTATAAACTATTTTATAACTTACAAATATATATCTTAACTTCCCCGCAATAGTTGATGCCAGATGGAAAAAAACACATATCATTGTAAAATTAATACATTMTTTTGCTCCACTCAGAATCAAAAATTTAAAAATGCACTAACAGCAATATTTAAATCCTCGTTTTAATAAAAATYATTTCGGGAATAAGTTGGTGCCGTCGCTCCGCCCTAGTAAGAAAAAAAGTTAGGGTATGTGGAAAAAAAATAAAATCAATGGAGCCCCATTAATTCTGTRCAATACTGCCCCTACCAAAAATTCGAGCACTGACTATTTTTTTTAAACATATTAATACCTATATAGGTAAACATTTTTGCGTTCATCTTAATAATATTATGCGGACGTCTAAAGCCTGCACACCGCTAAATTATACCTACTACGTATGTATAGTGTATACTGTCCATATTGGGTGGTCCAACCTTTTGTAGTTTACTGGCCAATTTACACATTTATAAATAGTATGAGGGCCGCCAGAATAAGAAAAAAAAGTAGGTATTTTATTTTATTACAAATATATTATAATTTATAATTATATAATATAATACACAAGCTATCTTATTAAAGAAAATTAGTATAGATTAGTACTGCTGAGTGCTGCTACGCCATCTCCCACCATCTTAGTTTTTTTTTAATTCATTAAACTTGTATTATATCACTAAAATCATTAAATAAATATCTTATAAGAAGGGCCAAAAAAAAAAAAAAAGAAGCCACCTATAACGTGGCCACTTAAATACTATACTATATACAGTAATAGTATGCTTATTATTATTATTATATATTACAGTTATAATAAATATTAAATTGTTACTACATCACAAAACAGAACTTGTGACGATGATGATTGATGATGAATTGATGATGATGATGATAATAATAACAATACGGTATATAGCTGGTATTTATTGGTAAGTATTATGGTGCCTAATACAACATAGTAAAATATATTCGTCTTCCTGTCCGTTTGTGCTGCGGTAGTAAGTTATAACATAAAMTAATTAACGTTTAGAGTCATCCGACTACCTACTTATTATAGTTATTAGTTTATTACCTATATACCTATAATCAAACCGCATAAGTGCCTGACTAGCTAAATACGCTACCGATATAATATTTTATATAGCTTTTATTAATCATTCGCATTGTAATATTTATCTACAATTATCATACAATGACGACAAACTCTTATATTAATATTTACCCATTCAGCTGTTACAAATTGCATTCTGATACATTTTAAATATGAAAAATAAAAAAAGTTGTACAACGTACCTAGTTCTTATGAAATCAAATTATGGCTGCCTCTCGATTACTCCTTTCGCCATCACGCCTGCACTGACTTATAGATAGTACCAATTATGCACTATATATAGTAAATGGTGCACCTAATTTAAATAAGAAAAATTAGTACTTATCTAGTAGGTATCTACACCTATTTGTATAGCCATTTCCCATTAGTAGGTACCTAAACATTTTTTAAATATGATAATTTATGATTAAAAATTTAATCTTTCATGACTTGATGCAAAATCTTCTACAACTACGTCTTCAAAATCGACATTTTTTGTTATTTTTTTTTGATATTTTTTTTTTAATCGTTATTGCAGGAGCATGTGATGGTAAGTTTATTAAGTTTAGATTAATTTTAATTTACTAAAGAAACATTTTCCGGATTCGGCAGTAACAACAGGTATGGTAAGGTATACTATCTATTTGTGATTATCAAGTTTGGCCAAGTTGAATCAAGTTCAAACGAATTTAATAGATTTAAAATATTTAATAAAAAGTTGAGTTTTGTTCATTTTGTAGACTGTAATATTGCTTTTGTTTACCATTAAAAAAATTCTAGTTAGCTATAGGCTTAAAATTTAATGTTACCTATCTCTTATTTATGATTCAGACTTTAAACTTTATTCAATTCGTCGTTTAATCCTACTTTACGTGCCTAATAATATTTTAAACTTAAAAACAAAAGATGAAAATGGAAGTTGGTTTTTGATTTTGATTTTGTTTTTAACACATCATTTATACATTAACTATTTTTTTTATAGTTAATTTGTTGTTTGTACTAACGGCTTCTTCATTATTAACTATGTAATGTCTTTTCTATAGTTAAACGCTAAAATTRCCAAAATTCAAGCAGAACTTTACTTAGGTATCTTAGAAGCACTAACGKAAATTTTAACATGACTAAAACAATCTTCTATTATATCAACTCCGAAAAAATGCAGTCCGCCATTACAATCTACTGATAGTCATGARATAATAATATTACTTAGAGGAAAAAGCACAATATATGTGCACAACATTGCAATGGCACAATAATATAATGCAATCGCGTATATCCAATAATCTAATATACGAATAAACATTGTTTTCGGCATGCGCTTAGTCACCTGATAATTTTATATAAATATAAAAAAAATCGTATTTCTAATTAAATTATAGGCACATAATATACAAATATAGTTATCTAAAGTAAAGAATTTCAAAAAAGAGGAAATAATAGGTATTATTGCTATTAATTTATTATAAATGTTTAGAAATCGTATATTAACTTGCAATTTAACATCAACATAATATACATAGGTAGGTAGGTACATAGTATAAATTATACAATGATAATTTTTCAACGGATGACGTTAAAAAACAAAGTGAATTAAACGTTCACACTTCATAATATCATCAGTAGTAGGTGTTCGTAGTTAATAATAGGCCGCGTATACGTATTAGATAGGTACGCGAGTCTACTTACGTCATCTATAATATAATAATATATAAATAAGCAATAACAGTCATTAGTTTTACTATATAATATCACAACATTATTACATTAAATAGGTACCCATATCACGATGATTATTAAAATATAGATATATATAAATAAAATGTATATTATGACGCGCATACAATAAAATTAAAATGTGCAAAAACAATTATATAATACAAATACAAATACTGAACAACGAAAAGGAAAAAAAATCATAATGCAATATAATAATAATTATTATTATTTCGGATATTCAAACACGCACGATCAACTCATATAATATTATATAAAGTGGCCGATTTAGTGTCTTCTGTACACAATTGTCGGTCGTAAATCGTTAAGAGGACGCTACACCCACATGTGTTGTATCTCCGTCTTACAAGTGCGTAACATGGCAAATTTTACGCTCAGCTGATCACGTTTAGCTCCGTTAGTTAAACATTTAGTGTGAGTTTATCTCTTATAAAACATTATTATGGAGGACTTCTCTCAGGCTTTTTATTGTATTTTTATTTTAAAGCGAGTTATTAGTATTTTAAAATTGTAAATTATTTGTATACCTTAAAATACTTATAACTCGCTTTAAAATTAAAATATAATAAAAAGCCTAATAGAAGAGAAGCCTTCCATCATAATGTCACCTTTAATTATTATAAGAAGTTTACTATCACTAAATTTCTAATTAACGGAGCTAAACGTGATCTGCTAAGCGTACAATTTGATATGTTACGCACTTGTAAGACGGAGACAACACATGCGGGTGTAGCGTCCCCTTATAAGTCGTGGTATCCATATTGATCTATTACACGGGATGATTCATCAACGTGAGGATCAACGTAAGACACTCATTATTTGATRAGAAACTAAGGTTATTGAAAACATTTTGTTTCCAACTATTTTGTGTCGTTATTATTTATTTTTTGTCTTTTAAACGATAACATTAATTTGTTATTAGTTTATAGTATCTCGATCTATACAAATATAGAATTCCGGACAAGTAGTTTATTAATTATGACTGTTTTGAGTATTTAATTTTTAGAAAATCGGATCAGTGGATCAACATTTTGCGAGAAACCCCGCCTGTTGTAACTCAWAAACTATAACTCCAAAAATCAATTTATACATAGAACTTCTTCAAAAAATATATTCTGCCTTGGAAATAATATTTAAAAAAAAAAGGTAAAAGTGTATTTCTAGTATAGTAAAAAGTATACTTTTAAAAACTTTTTTTAATTTAATAATGAGTATCTCTCGTTAAATGGATCAACCGGTATATATATCTATAAATATGTGTATTGATTCTTACAGACTACAGTACAGTACGAGAAGGGATTAAAAAAAAAAGTGCACAATACGTACAAAATATATAGTTATCCGACGATGTCGCTTAATATTATAGACGGTACGCGAAATATTATATCATTGTGCTTCGTACATTATTAGTAATAATTTATTACGTATTTTACTGCGGTCCGTAGGGTATTATAATATATGTATTATGTATTTATGTCGCAGTTATCTGTATCAATATAGAGATCGCGAGACTACAGATTGTCTACAAAAGTAAAACCAATCAATAGTGATATTATGATATAACATAATAATATAATATATAATTTTAATATCTATTATACATATATGGCCGCGTGGATATCTGCACAACGGAAAGCTACGCGAGCCGCAAAAATTCGCGATTCGTATAGATCGGCTGCGTGAGGATTATTTCRTCGTTGGTCCGACCGATCGCACCTCCAGMAGTCGTCGGGACTTCGGTGACAGTTGTGAACGTCGAATAGTTTGGCGGGGCCATGTTCATTTCCACTTCATTGCTGATCGACAGAGATGAATTCAGGCGGGTGCCCTGCAGGAACGTGCCCGGGCGRCCGAAATTAATGGCGTCGTACTCGGGCGGTGGCTGATAAATAATAAATATCGTAACAATAATATAAATAATCTTTGAATAAAACACGAATTAAGACCCAATTTTTTGGAAACAGTACGGAGCCGATCAAGGTCAAAAAGCGGGTAAGTCGTGGATGTCGCTCTGCTGTACAGTAGGTTACAAGTGGGTTACTGTAATGGATGGAATTAAATTTGATACGAATGTTATAATATCATTGTATACGAAAAACGATTCTGAGCGGAGAAGGTTTATTTGTCTAGGATGTATTATAGATTATTAAAAATTTTCAAATCTTAGATTTAAAAAGAATTTTTTTATGAATTTCTAGCTTAAAATAATTTKCGAATTTTCGTGATTTTTACGTATGTTATGAAAATTAAAATTTGAATATTTGTAAAAAAAACTGTGACTATGTATTTCTTTTAATTTTCAATTAATATTGTAAAAATATTTTAGGATCCTTGTATTAAATTTTCAAATCCTAGATATAAAAGGAAAATTTTTTATGAATTTCTAGCATAAAATAATTTAYGAATTTTTGTGATTTTTACATATGTTGTCAAAACTCAAACTTTGAATGCTTATAAAAAAAAATCGTGACTATGAATTGCATATACCTATGAATAGTTCAACTTAAGTTAACATTTTTTGAAAATTGCATAGTGGATAGAATATACTTATATAAACATTCGGTGAAAAAAAATGTCATGTATCTATGGTTAGGTATTTGTTTTAAAGTTACATCAAAAACCAAAATCGATTTTGTCGAAAACTGATTGTGCGTAAAATTTCCCGTTTTTCTCTTAATTTTTAGTTTGTTTACCCCGATTATTTAAAAAAATATTAAGACATTTTTATTTTTGATTCCCCAAAGTACCAACTATAGATTCACTTTCTSATCGAACGAGGTACTGAAGTCAAAAATCGAAGCACTTTTATTGCCCMAATACGTGATGACAGACACAAAAAAAAACCCCATCATGGTAAAAATATCAATACATTCATCGCTCCGCTCAAAATCTAAAATACAATGATTCACGCAGAAAAAAAAACTATTTTACGATCAACATTATAGGAAAACTGGACAAGTTGAGTAAGTTTTTTTTAAGTATCTAAGTTGAGTAAAGTAAAGATGCATTAATGATGAATAACACAGTTAAGTTAAAAAATAAGTACACATTTTTTTATTTATAGCACTATCCTGTTTTAATTTTTTAACGACTCTAAACTAAATAGGTACCTGATGTAATACCTAATAAAGTAATAAGGTATATAAACTTAATAATAATAAWAAAACAATAGTAGTTCTATATTTTTAGACATTTATAGTATTTTATTGAAGTTTTCTTAAAATTAATTCACACCAAAAATTACCCGAAATGCTTTTCAACATGAAATCAAAATCGACTTAAATTTAATAAAATAAAATAAACTTTAGAACACAATATATTAATTTAGGTAGCTTATTAAAGTGAAAATTTATTGAGTTGATTTCACGTTGATTAAAAATCAATCAAGTTAGTTAAAAAGTTAAAATAAAATAAACTTTAAATCTCAAAGTGTTAAACTTGTCAACGCCAGTCTTACATTATAGCCTATAGGAGTATCTAAATATAATATATATGTATAATTGAATGACGTCAAGGCGCGATAAAGGAAATGTTTATAGTTATATGATGGTCGTATAAAGCTGTATAATATTATACCAACGCAATTTTAAATAATAATTTAATGAATAASGTGTTTAACTCCCGAAAGAGTGCTATAACTTATAAGCGGTTATTGGAAAATATGAATGGTAAAAATCACTTCTTCTCATCTTACGGTTACTTATGACACTATATTATTATATTATAATACAATGTGATAAACTCACCTGATTATTGTAGTCAAAAATAGGAACTTTACGGTCTTTTTCTATGTCGTCGTAACACGGCGGTCTGTTTTGCATTTTTTGCTTGACAAATTCGTTCATCGAACTGTCGCTGGCTACTCTACTCATCGAATCAGACCGACAAAAACTGCACCTGTAAACAATTTACTAAGTCAAACATGGGTAAAAAAAAAACCTAAAATATTTTGCCCCGTTGGGGGGACGCGATAGTTTAAAGCGGAATATATAAACCATAGAGTTCCAAACATTTGGTCATCGATAGAATATATACCTAGTATCTTTATATCATGTTAATTTATTAAATTATTAATTTAATACGGACTTGGCTCAAAGTATAATAGAAGATATTTACAAATAGTGCGAGTACAATTAAATCGTCTAGGAACAGAAAATGGAGCAATAGCTTGGAGCTGATTGGACTTGGAAGGACACGAAAGTCGATATGGGGTGGAGCATCGGTCGAATCACCTATAATATTTYAAAGRGACTTTACTTTGTTGTTAATTTTTTTATTAGTCTAAGTTAATAGACTTATTATTAGCCCTAGGAATAAACCCGAGAATAGTCGTTTGAAGGGTGGGTAATATTTAGTAGGCACAGGTAACTGGTGATAGGATATAGAAAACCTTGTATGGTAAAAGTTTGGGCCTGTATGAGGAATGGGGATTAGAATCAAGTATAGTATACCTATATATGGTCTGTAATAAAGATTGTTGTTAAGTATTTCTATTTCTTGTAAAATGTACCTATACATATAGAAGAAACGCACGCGAGATGATGATAAATAAATAGCCAGTAAGTAGGTATCTACCTTCTTTTGTACTATCGCTTTTATAAGCAATGTATTATATTAAAATAAATAATTTTCAGTAGAATTTCCTTAAACGATTTTTAAGGAACCTATATAAAATCAAATCGTAGTTATATCCAAATGACAAAAATATACCTACTGCACACGTGTGATATAAAATCAACCAAGTACATGCGGATGAGAACAGTGGCGGATAGTTTTTTACGTTATTCTTATACACTATATTGGGCAGAAAAAAGGTAATTTAATTTTTGAAAAATTCACCTCCACCCTCAGCGTGACTTTTAGATCTGCTACTCGATGGGAATTATCGTTTTATCCGGAATATTGCCATATACAGCATAATTATAAGTGGATTCTATACTGTAAATTGTAACTTATTACCTGAACAACGTTTTCCTGATGACCGCGATGAATGTGATGGCGAGGAAGACGAATGCGAATGACACCGAAAGAGTGTTGGCCAACTGAATACCCAGCGTCGGCGTGTACCTGCCTCTGTAAATCCCCGAACTGTGTTAAAATGGCACGTGGTCAGATCAACTAACCACGAAATGTCGCATATAATATTAAGTGAAATGTTTTGTTAAAGTATTAGAAATAGTATATTATATGTAGAAATTCGAGATGGAAATGATCTCCATCTTCGATTTTGAAGTGGTAAATGATGTATTACGGGTATGTTAACATAATAATTATTTTGATGACATAAGTTGAAAAAAATCAACATTAGCTGCRTGCGTTCTGAATTATGCGCAACTATTAGAGAACGGATTTGAATGCAAATTACATATTTTTCCGAAAACATTGCTTTCCAAGCGCACAAAGTTAATTTCATGCATCAAGGAGCTAAAAAATGTAATTTTTACTTTGCATTTTAAGACTTTATTACATTTTTAGAGAATTTTATATTTTTAAGTCATTTTTACGTAGAAATGGATAAAATTCGATAAAAATGTATGAACATTAATTCTAAAAAATTAATATTTATTATGCTTTTACCGATTAGATAAACCCAGAAGAAATTATTTTTGACACGTGTAGACTGTAGACACAGGTATACGAGTACATACATACAAGATACAACATATAACATAATAATTTTTATTGTATTTAAATACTTTTTATCAKATAAATATTTCACAATAATGTATTTTTTATAAATTTTAAATTTTAAATTCGAAATTGTTTTTTATGGAATTTTTAGCTTTTTGTGAATTTTTTGATATTGAAGTATTTTTTTAGGACATTTTTCTTATTTTTTATGGCGTTTAAGTCCGTTCCCTAGTAATTATTCTTCACTTATAAACCTTGAAATATCAACACTATCAGAGTAATGTTAATTTTAGTCTATTAATATAAGTGGATAATGTCATAAGTTCTAAATTCAATATAAGTTTGAATTTTGTATAGTGTTTTGTGAAATTTAATACAATTTGAGTAATTGCGAGTTTTTAATTTTACATTTAAAATAATATTTATAAAATAAGTAAATCTACCTTCTAAATCAAACGTGAGAGTTATTGGTAAATCATTAAACGCTATGTAATATAATAAATATTATATAAAAAAAAAAATTATATTTTACTCTTATTATATTTCAAAAATATTGTGTCTTTTATGATAATCATAATTTTTAGTAAATTTAAATTATTTTATCTAATAACTGATACATTCTTATRATTGATATAACATTATCCCAAAGGTCCTAGCAGGATAATATCATATCAACCGGCTAATGTTAACATTACCCGTAAATCGTAATACATATATACACTATGATAGAATTTTAATTTAATATTATTTTTAGTTTTATTCAGTAGGTAGCGCAACCAACCACCAATTTTTCAGAGAGTTTGACAAAATAAACCATCTTAATTTGTATAAAAAATAAATACTAAGGGGGAAGGTCCGGTTATAAGTCCATTCTCCTAGCTGGTTGCGCTACTGGTTTCATTATCATCGAAAACGATTGAGTCTCAAAAAGTATTTTTTAAAACAATCATCGAGTTAGATAACCTATTCTGACTATTCTATACGAATATAGCACTATACTACATATGAGATATGAGACTATTTGACTATGTATGTATTTAAACCAACTACGTCATTTTCGTTATATTACATTAATTATAAATGTTTATTTATCTCGATGTAATGAATATATTTTTTATATTAATTATAAAGAAGAACTTTATCCTGATATATTATGTACTTAAAGCATTTTTATATACACAAGTAAACATTGATAAGAATATTACTAATATTAAACAGTTTAATTAATTAATTATAAACATATTTTGTTAATAGTTATTTTATTTCGAAACATAATGATATCAAGTAGATAATTGAGTTATCGAAAAAAAGATTATATGCGTTAAAGTATATCAATAATTTAAATGGTTCGTTCTATAAATGTAATATATTTAACAAATAGAGTTGAATATCACTAAATAAAAATGCAACTTAAAGCAACTTATGCAGCCTTGTGTTCAATTAAGATATATATATATTCGTATTGAAATAAATGATTTAACAGGAGTATATAATATATTATTATATAATTTTCATTTTTCATAAAATATCATGAAAATTGCCTAYACATAATAAATTCCTAAAAAGTCGGTAGGTATATAACAATATATTGTAACATCGACACATATTCGAGTATTTATATACTTTTCGACACCTATAGATTTACATTATATCATACTCACAGACATTCTTCGTCCATTCCAGGTCTGCACACGCACAATCCGTCGAAGCAAATAGTAGCATGCGGATTTTCACAGCATTGTGTTACGGCGCAACTTTCTTGGAACACTATACAATATAATATAAAGGTACAATGTGACAAGAGCTGGTGACAGCTTACTGAATGATAAATTATAGTTTACTATTATTATCATATTATATATCGTTGAAACTTAAATTATATAAAATAATAGAGTAAAATAAAAAAAATTGCTATTATTTGTTTTATATTGTTTTTAAATTAAATTATTGGTATGCAGGTAAGTAAATTAATGAGATGACGTTAAAAATATTATGGTAATTTCTATAACTACCCTCCTGAATAGCAAATATTATCCAGTGGCATAATATATGCTTTCTTAGAATTAAAATAAACAGACTTTTAAAACTATGCGAGAAGAATTATATCAATATTTTCATTTAGAATAAAATTGGATTCATCGACAAAAAAATAAAATTAAAATAATGGGAAATTATTAAAATTTAGATTTAAAATGCTACTCTATAGCTAAAGATCATTTACTTATTGTTTTTTCACGATAATTRAGCATCGAGCACTGTTCATTTAAAAATTATTCGTGGAGGACTTAGATTTTTCAACCGACAAACTTAATAAAAAATAATTAGTTCGTGATATTCAGCATTTTTAAAACTGAATTATAATTGTTTTCGTAGATAGTTATAGGTATAGTTTAGCTAAGATAGTTTATTTTCCAAAAAAGGCTTTGAAATAATTTTATTTATATAAAAGTTATTGGAACTGTTGGAACTGTAAAAAAAGTTCAAAATAACTAATATTCTCTTAGACCTTAGCCCCTATTCTGTTTTCTAAATATCTCCAACAAGAAAAATAAATATACTAAATTGAGTTTTATAACACTACTTAATATACAAGAAAATTATAAATTATTGGTATAAATCCTACAAAATACTAAATTAAAGCAATCTAAAAATTCCTTCTACTCACAGGGGCATAGGGACATAGACACACGTCCTTTTTAAGAGATGTATAAAGGTGCAAATTATATTTAAATCGATACGGATATTCAACGTATCTTGATAAAATCATGACTCACGTGAACATAGGCGACAGTGGGCTGTCTCCGAAGTTTTGTTGAACACCTGATAGTAATTCTCGTCACACACACACATGTGATTTTCGCACCTGGTGAAACCGAACTCGGCAGGGCATTGCAGGCTATTGCTGCAGTGGTATACGAACGGCAATTCCGTATACACATAACGATGTAAACCCACCGCCGCTGCAAAATATAATGAATTATATTTTAATAAATGTACAATATAATTAATAATTACCAGCGAGTAAATAACATGTATTTGTCCCCTGTTCCGTAGTCAAGACTTTTTTCCTAGGGGTAAAGGCTACAATATTATATTGCTAGGGTTAGAGTAGTATATACTATCGGCTTCTTAAAATATAGTAAGGTTGATGTTTTCAGCGGGGAGGGGGTCTTAAGCTCTTAAGGCTCCTTAGCTACAGCACTGTTTATACCTAAAGGCTAAAAGTGCAACATTATATTTTTCAAAATAAGAAGATCCTTAACGATTCGTTATGAAAATGGGTACCTAGTTCTGATTAGAAAGAGATCACAGAACACTTTTTAAATTTACTGGACTATTCCCATTTCCCGGTATCATACTTATGTTAAAAATACTATTTACAATTTATAGTATTTCAAATAGGTATTTGAATATAAGTAAAAATACTTTTAAGTTAACTACATACATTTTTATACATAAATTATTTTCCACGTAATATTATGTTTGGATTGGTTATCAAGTATTTACCGTCGATAACAATATTTAATCATCGTACGTCTTTATCGACTTGTTGACAATAATAAGTCATTTCTAGGAGAAAAAATCCAAACTGAAAATCTAGTTTAAAAGAATTTTGTATTTTTAAAATAACAATTTTATTATAAGTATTTGATATAATGATATATACATAATAAAAATACTTCAGGCATAAGTATTTCAAATATACAAAAAAGTATCCAAATGTTACAACTATATTAATCGCATATTATTGTATGAAATGTATTCAAATTTAAATCATYTTGTACAAGCCAACATCACAGGGCTTATCCATGGAACCCATCTAGAATGATAAAAACTCAAGGAAGTGGAATTTATGATCCACCGTGATTATCATTATTATGGTTACTTAATTATAATTTCAAATGTTCATCAAACCAACCCGCAATAATATATTTTAAATATTAGGCATGTATCTGCAAACTTAATTTGGTACTTACGCGAGACGAAATAGTTTTAAGTTTATATAGGTATCGCCCCCCTCCACTTTGGCGTAATTGTAATTTTGGTTTTATTTTTTTAATAGGCTGCTTGTTTTTATGCAGGCCACATAAGCACAACCCCCGTCTAAAAATTATTAATTTTCCAGATAAACCACTTTAAAAACTGGGCCAAATCAAAATAACATTAGATTTTAATACCAACACGCTGCAAATAATGTATAAATACTTTATGCGGTCCATAAAAGTTATTCTTCGAAAGATGTCAAGAAATACGAGCCCACAAAGTAAGACACACATATTTACACTATATATACACTATACAGGTATAATATTATACTTATTATAAGTTTAGGTACACATCAATCGATTAATTTGATTATGATGAGGCGCGTTATTCAGTTATTCTAAATCATTATACATCGTATAAATGGATTAACGGTATTATAACACCGCAGCTAAAACAGTATTTGCTTACCTATTATTGCATAATATATATAGGTACCTACATAAAAAGTTATCAACACGCAGTACGGGGGTTAGTGAACTGCTGTAGCAGTAATACGTATAGGTAGGTACATATACACCAATAATTTATCATGTTATAATTATTATTATTCGTATGCACCCGAAAAAAAGCGAGACGGCACTTTAGCACAGCGCTTACACGTGCGTTATTAAATACACACAGCAAATAAACACGTTCGGTTCAAGGTCTGAGATCTTCAAACTGGGATATTATAGGCATTACAGGTATAGGTACTCTGCTTTGTAAGTCCGTTCGTTTTTACGCACATCATATAGTGATTAATTATAATTTATAACACTCTTGAGCCGCATATTAGCTGTATAATTATTGGCAGCTCAGTGACATTTGACGAACTTCACCGAGGCCGCATAAGATGAACTTGATAAACTATTATTCGGAGTGCTGATGAAACCTCGTTCCTCATCTATTTTAAATTTTTCCATAAGCTTTATTATCCTCACGAATAAGATGATACACCTGATGATAAAAAAAATTATGAATAACTGGGAAGGGTTTAAGSTGGTGAAACTTTTTTGGGTCAAGTGCCAAATTTTTCCAATCAATGTTTTRAAAAATGTTCACATGCCCTAAGTCGTAAACACTAAATAGTATAAGTACCTACATAATAAATACCATAATTTTTATAATTTTTATTTTTCGCGTGCCTATGATATTTGACCAACATGCCACCTTTGACACGCGTCCCGTAARTTCACCAACCCTGGTTTAGGTAGGGACGGCGCTAGGATTTGCTGGGCCCCGGGCAAAATAAATAACAGCCACATTACATATATTATCCAAACTAACTAATCTCTGAAAAGTATAAAATATCATTTAAGAACTGCGGAGCCTTAATTATAATTTTAAAATCGCGGGGCCCCGGAAAACTACCGCGATTGCCCCCCCATCGTTCCGTGCCTGGGTTTAGGGTATATATCGTGATGCCTATATTAGTTTATATATGATAATATGATATACATTATAATACCTACGACAATGCATAGGGCAGAAAATTCCTATCGTATAGTTTTCCAACGGGAAAAAAATTTCTCGACGAATGACGAACAAGTATAACCAACGATAATACGATATAGATTCTAYATCGTATTATATTATAGAACAGTTCAGAACATAAAGATCGACTTACCGTTTTCGTGGTCTTTGGGCGACTTCGACTGTTGTGCAGCGGTTGCGGTAGAAAACGCCGAACAGACGAACATCACGAACGTCARGACCATTGCAAAGATCATAATCATCGGCGGTGTTATCGGAATGACAATAAAAAATAATAGCTAAATAATAATATAATAACGACGAGTGTCGAAAAATACAGCAATCACATCACACCGTTGGATCTCCCAACACTYGGACATGCATACGCGTTTACTTTGGGCGGCCAGAGCGCGACCTGTTGCTCACGATGTGGGTAACTGCACTATAATATATTATRATATTCAAAACTCGTACCAACGAGGCAACGACGGAACTCTAGTCGTTGAGTGGTGCTTTAATGTACGATGAGTATATATTATAATATATCGCGATAGTATTATTATTTATTAAATACACATGATTTACATATTGTACGTGCGGCACCGGTGCACAATAATAATTATTTTACTGCTCTCTATTTAATATTATAGTATTAGGTATAATAACAATAATAATATACGGAGACGACTGACGAGGAGGAAGAAYAACTCATAATTGGTCTATAACTGAGATAATAAATGTCGAAGAGCTCCGAACGATGATGATTATATATATACATAATATGTACACATAAGTTTATGTTTTATACATAATATTATGCATAAGCATTAGCACATAATATAAAACAAACAATTATAACGACCTGTTACAAAAGGTTTTTGTCCGTTGGATAAGTGTTATATTGGTTTAATACGTATCATAGTATTGTACTCCGGTACAATGATAATTTATATTATACTTTAATAAYAATAATATAACACGACGTGTGCAGTTTGTGTGTATTATATTATTATTATCATGTAAACACCGATACCGCGTCCGAGCAAAATACACCGCGAATCCGAAAAAGGTATAATATATAATTGAATAGAATAGGTTACACTGAAATTTAAGAAATCACTTTGTATAAATCGTAATAATATATAACATTATGTTACAACGTGATATACAGTGAGAGGACGTAATATTGTTATTTTATGTCAAACAGTGTTTTTTTTTATTATTATTATTATTTATTGGTTTATTTACTCGTGTTATTTAAACATTAGTCAATATTATTTACAGCATGTTTCGTATATAATAAATAATATGCAGAATTTTTTTTTTTTGTAATTTTTTCTTTTACTTAGAAAATTCAAAATGTTAGTTAATGTTTTCAGTTGGTCAGGACAATCAGAGCTTTGACAACGTCTCCGTGACATTCCCTTAATGTTCTCTCGGCTAGGGTTTTTGATATTTCCATTTCTCGTATCTGTGAAAAAATATAAATACATAATTTTATCACTTATAAGTTATAATAATATAGACCGCTATAATTACACGAAATATATATTATATAAAACTATCATTATTGTTATTGTAGGCAATTCATATTCACATTAATTAATAATTAACCCGTCAGTAATCTGATGGGATCGAGGTGCCGACGTCAATGTGGCTAATGGTTTTAAGTAACGGAGAGTAACTATGTAAATAACCCGATACGATTCGGTATGAAACGCATGCGCCGTGCCCCGTGAGATCATAAAAGTATTAAACAATGACTTAATGTACGAAATTACGAACTAAAATACATTAATCCTACTAGTATGATATTATATTAAATACCGTTTTTTTTCTAAAACGATTTACGATAATAATAATTTATGAGTCTTTATATGCCAATAAATTATAATTAGGTAACTATATAAGCTATATCTAATTACAACAGTTTTATACCACGGCTTTGAATAATTATGATTAAAGTGGCTTATTGTATGAAGCAGAGATTATWCTTAAGCATAAAAACCCAAAAATGTATGTAAATGTGCGATGACGAAGCGTTAAATAAAGAAACTACTATTTAGATTTTTAGATGAAAACATTTAAATAGGTAAATGAATYTATTCAAATTTGTATTTTAAATAATATTTAATACAGTATCGTTTCRTGTTTAAATTTAATATTAGGTCTATGACAACCAAATATGGTGATATGCAAAGCCTTCTATGATACGTACTATCCTAACCTTCCAGTCTATTTCTCTTGCCCAAGTAATATTTGCACCATCATGGTACATCTTAAACATCTAACTAAATAATGATTTCAAAAAATAAATCAGTCTTTACATCAGCTTAAAGTTATTATAAAAATCACACTGAAAATCATCTAACCACACAAACTCATTAGTATCTAATGTAGCCAGTGAATTTATATCGACCTTTATTAAAATACTTAATTAAAAAACTTCTCTCATACAAAGTCAGAGGGTTACCACATTGGTTAGTCTCTCCTACACGTCATGTCATGTTATAATATATTGGTTTGGTTTATAAAATTTACTTATTGAATACAAATATTAAAAATTGTATACGTCTTTATTTTAAAATAAAAACAAAAAATTTAATATTTGATAATAAAACTAAGATTAGGACTGTAGTAAAATATGTATATTATATTCTCACACTATATTTTTTTTTTAATTAAAGACATCATAATTAATACAAATATTTAAAAAAAAAAACAAAAGGTTATTATTTGTGTAAAAGTAAGAAAACAATAACTTATATATATATATATATATATAAGTAACTGATGGGACAAAGGTGAAGAAATAAAATATAGATACAAGTATACCAGTTAATTACTATAAATATATAAATACATTTTAATCAGTGTGATTTTTTACGCAATAAATAATGTWTAATTATTTCAAAGTATTGATATTTTTTTAAATTTTGTTGCTATAATTATTTTTCTTTTCTTTAATGTTTTTTATAGTGAACTCGCTGTTTAATTTATAAATATCAATCAGCATATTTAGTCTGAAATATGATGTACAATTAATTATCTAGAAATTTACTAGACTTTATTTATTTATTTAAGAAGACTTTAATACGTTACACATGCAATGTTATTGTGTTGTGTTGAGATAGAAGGCTTCAATAATAACTAAGAAACGAAATTTTCACATTATAAAGAGGAAAACATTTACTGTGTAATGTTGTTTTGTTTTATTCTTTATCATAGCTACAAAAAAATTTTGAAAATCAAAAAATAATGTGAAAATAGTTTCTTAGTAAGTTAAGACTGTAACTTGGTTTTTTCTCGTGCAAAACAGTTTTTGCTATGTTTTACATCAAATGTAAAACAGCGACAACACATGCAAGTGTTCAATACGGTTAATCCTATAACATTTCTATAAAGTATTAACATCAAATAATGTTTATTATAATCATCCAATTAATAATTCAGTGGTATTAAAAAACCATATTTTAATCATGTAACATTATGTAAAAGGCCTGTTTAATAGGATGTCAGCGCTATGTTTGTTTTCTCAGTTTTCCTTTCAGACTCACGTGCAACATAGATAAAACACTTACACTTAAAATCGTTTTTATGATTTTTGTATAACCTTAGGGTAAAATTATTTAYAGCAAAAATTATTGAGAATAACATTTTTGAGGGTAAAACATATCGGTTTTTTATTTTATTCTTATTTGACTTGAATTTAAATTTTGTTGAGMTAAATCGTTACATTATTACCTCAAAAGCCAAAAATATTATTCTATCAATTTTGTAATGGGTGATTTTACTCTAAGATTATTCAATCTGAGATGATAGATCATTAAGGTTTTATAATACAAAGAAATGTTAATATAAAATATATTGAATTCTAAAAAAAATACTTTAATTACAATTTAATTTAATTTTAATCTATTTTACTCTTAATGTATTTATTTGTATTACCAAAATTTAAAATCCCCCTTGTAAAAATAACTATGGAAATTAAAAATTTTATTTTAGTAATCATATAAGGCAGAGGTATTCAAACTTTTTCATCCTACGGCTCCTTTATATCTTCACAAAATGTTGGCAACTCACAATTTATAAATGACAAAAATCAATGTTTATAATTTATACAGAGTGATCCATTTAAGTGGATACACTAATTATCTCGAAAGATATAAACTTTTTTTAAATTTTTTTTAAACCTTTAAGTTTATATTTTTCTAAAACGGCATAATATATTAATTTTTTTCACTCTTATATTTATTGGTAAAACCACTATCAACTTTTGATTTTCAAATGGTAACATATAATTAAAATATCATGAATTAATAAAACCATTTTTTTCATGAATTTAAGTGTTAACATATTTATTTTTCATTGATTGGTTTGTGAGATACAGCTCCTCAAAGTATTGGTGGTTTTTATTATTTTTTCAATTATTGTAAAGACCTGGAGCTAGTGGCAAATTCAATATCGCTGAATCTAAGGTAACAAAATAAATCCAATTAGATGATAAGTTAATAAATRATTTGGGTTCAAAGTACAATAGTAATCTTTAATTAATTGTTATTTATTTTGTTACTTTGGATTCAGCAATATTGAATTTATCACTAACTCCTGGTCTTTACAATAATTGGAAAAATAGTAAAAACAATCAACRGAAAATAACATAAATTCATGAAAAAAAAAGTTTTATTAATTCATGATATTTTAATTATATGTTACCATTTTAAAATCAAAAGTTAATAGTAGTTTCACCAATAAATATAAGGGTGGAAAAAATTTAAAAAAAGTTAATACTTTTCGAGAATCAAGATAATTAGTTTATCCACTTAAATAGATTACCCTGTATGTATGTTGGTTATATCAGAGGTATTCAAACTTTTTCATCCTACGGCTGTTTTGGGTGTTCACAATATTTTGACAGCTCCCAAATTATTATGAAAAAATTGTAACAACTTTATATAAATAAAAAGAATACTTTCAACTCTGCTATCGTTAGATTGAAAGGCAAGAAGGACTCAACTTAAACTTTATATATATATATTAACTTTTAAGTAAAATATGAGCATTTTAAAATTGTATGACTGTTTATATTGTATAAAGCTTAAATACTAGGTAAATTAAACAATATTAATATTATTCTAATTATACCAAATGCTAATATAATTTTCTATTATTTAAGCTCCCAACAATTGAAAATATAAGTTAGTAWGATAGGGTATTGTAAGGTTTGTATTTAATGAAGTGTGGTTAATCAGTGTCTTACGTATGTATATTTTAGCAGTTGGAATTAAATATATATCATAATTTACAACAATAACCACAGTACACAAAAAACAAAATAATTAATCATAATATTATCAATTAAAAAAAAATAATAGCTATAAAATAAAAACAAATAAGTGACATGCAAAAATGGATGGATTTGGATCAGGTATTACTAGTTTATAGTTGGTAGTAATGGGGTGGGCCTATAAGGCTGTRACGGTTGTGTTGGTTGACCAATACAGTTTTAGATGTTTTCATGTTGTTTAATCTGGTATATGACAAGAATCAGTAGATGGATGCAATGAGACTACSCCTCTAGTTTAGATGATGTACATCATACATATTATATTCAATTATTTAAAATTTATAAAAAGGATAAAATATGTTTTGCCTCCTCCACAAAAAAAAAATATTGCTATAAGCGTCCTTGCTGATAAGCACACTGCAAAATGTTTACAGTGTATCTATAGAGATGGCCACAATGTGGATGATATAGTGTTCCATAAAGTTAAATTATCACAGGATCTTGAAAATCCAAAATAAATAAAATTAGGTTAGGTTACTAAAAATTAGGTACTAAAATACTAGTTGGCGGCGTCGCGGTAGCAATGCGAAAGCAGTTCCCGCGGCGTCATGGGTTCTACCAGCAAAAAAAAAAAAAAAGGAACTAAAAAACTTAAATGTCAATGTCCTTATTAGTTATAAATGATAAAAGAAAAAGTAATTTAGTTCAAACAAACATTATAGTATAGATATGAATGTTGGATTTTAACATCGTGTTATAGATATTTAAAAATGAAAGTATTAATTTAAGATATGGGAAGCTAATTAAAAATGAAACTTTTTATATCAGAAAAATAACAAATTTACACTCTAAGTAAAAAATTATAAATACCTACCAACCTTATTTAAGAAAATATTAACTACAATGTGCATATAATATCATATGATAAATACACTAAAATAATTTTTTGTAACCAATTGTGTTCAAATACAATGATAATATTATGTTTAAACAAGTGAGTCCCACTCCTTAGCCTAATAACATTTGAACATATTAACTTACAATCAGTTCAACATCAGACTTTTTTATGGAGACCTTTTGCAGTTCTTTTTCTTTTGCTATTTTGTCTGCGGCTTCTTTTAATCTCCTGTCACCAATGATGGTCATTGCCTATTAAACAGATATTACATATATTGATGTTGCTCACATGAGTTTTACTTATAGTGTAATTAATACTCCAGATATGTCATCGGTCGATATGACTTCCTTTTCTTCCGCATAGTCAGTCACTTTTTCTAAATCAGCTGCTCCGCTGTCATATTTTACAGTTTTTTTAGCATTCGCATCATCGACATTGTCGGTTTGTTCATCAGTCCCGCCGACACCATTTACAACTGGTTCTTCTGACATTATACTACCCTTCAGGGACGAACAAATTTCAAACGGTAATTAGATTAAATCGAAAAATGAAAAATGTGTTTTTAAATTTAAATAGGTATTTCAAATATTTTTCTTAAGCAGCACAACATGTCATGAAGAAAGCATGATAATATGATAACTGATAGGTGTTATCACAACCGTTGACTGTCGGCCGACCGCCAAATATCACATTGATCCCGACTCTTCTAATACGTGAAGTTAGTGACGATATCCTGAAACTATACTACAATACGATCATGATTAAAAAGTGACGAATTCGGAATTACAAATTTTTTAAATTAAATTTAGTTCATTCCAAAATAAGGATTATATTTTTTAAATTTATTTTAATACAYATTAGGTACACTTTCATAAAAAAAATCGTTTATTTTCCAAGTACAAAAATATTACTCTGCTCGAATTATTGTGAGTCGAAATAATTAATTTTAAAACAGACTGGCGATGGCATAAAGGTGCTAGCTATGGTGTTGGTGTACTTGGTCAGATCACGTCTGAATACACGCCATTTCGGAGGTCTCCTATTTAGTCCTACCCTCTACTCTAGTGAGCCTACTCACCAATCACCATGGCCCATTTACTCTTGTCTCTATTCCCACGGGCCACAGATGCCGTGTAATCATCTAATTCCGACTGAAATGCTAACTGCCCGAGCTCGGATGCAAGTGTGTGTCCTGACTCCTGGCTGATCATTTTTTTTATTAAAGTGCCTTTATTAATTCAAAATATTAATTATTTTGAATATTATTTCGTGGAACTCTTCTCACGGCTGATTCCGCGTCCTGTACACGAATACGCGATCGTCATTTCCGTTCATTTATGCGCATTTGTGGTTTATTTTATAATTTTAATCTATTCCCAATAAGAATTGTTTCACTTTTATGATTTTTATCTACGTGTCATGTAATTTATTACTATACATGCTTACCATCTGCATGGTAAATAACTTACCCACCCAGGTGATACACTGATACCTACCTTAAACTATAGCAAAAAAAAAAAAAAAATGTAAATTGTAAATGTTAAAATGTTAATTTACTCCACGTGTGAACTTAGTTATATTAATGAAAAAAAAAATTCTAAAAATTATCGATTATGATGAATAAACACTAGGTAAAAACTGCAGTTTGTCATCTTCAAATTTTTAAACCSAAAAAATATTCCTAATTATAAATTAATCATAGAAAGGTTATTTAGAGGGCATAAGGTTATCAAAGCATCGAAAATATGTAAAAAAAACTCAACCACAATTAAATGAGCGAAAAAATTGAGAAGGAGCTTTAAAAATGTAGAAAAAATTATACAGCAGGAAATTACACTGAAGATTGCAGCCTGTAATCTCCAAATTCTTAAAACCAGCGGTTCTCAAACTTTTTTGTTCACGGAGCCCTAAAAAAAAATTACGGAGCCCCAAAAATCAGAAATGTCTATATGAGACAACAAAAGTTCATAAAAAATGATGTCAATTGTAAATGATTTGCTTTTTATTTTATTTTCTGTAAAATACGAATATATACAAATTATTTAATGAATATTAATAATTTAAATTTAATTAATACAGATATTTTTGGGGAGCCACGGAGCCCCTAGACTACTCTCACGGAGCCCTAGGGCTCAGCGTAGCAGTTTGAGAACCACTGCTTAAACTAATTTTAAAAATAAACAATCGCAGAACGAGAGATATTTAAATGAAAACGAAAATTATGAGAGCAACGCGAACGAATAACGTTAGTAAACACATTTTAAGTTACATACAAATTGGAATAATGAGGAAATAAGACATTCATATGTTCGTCGTACAATGTAATATACAAAAATAATTTGAAATAGATAATATTGTTTTGCATTATGACTATAACCTCTAGATACGACACTATTGTTGCTCACCGCACTATTTCAACTTAAATTTTGCATGTTCTTTCATTATAGTACCTATAGATAGTAAATAATTTTTTTAATTGACGATATGTTAGGTTTTATAGGTACTTAGATTTTAAAAGAGTAGGAGCTTATTTTTACCTAATTTCTTTAGTATTAATTAAATTAATTAAACAATTTTTATCTTCRGCCAAATTTAAAATCTAAAATCGATAAAATTATGGATTTTGGCTAGGGTTAGCATTTAGAATAAGCGGAGCTAATTCATACAATGAAAATTATCACCACGTATTATAAAATATTAAAACAATAAGGCCCATACTCTGATGATAATAATGTTATTTGAATGTCGTGAACTAAAAAAGTGATATCGTACTTTTATATTGACGTATATATTTTCTCAAAATTGTTTGGATTATAAATTTTCACCAGTAAACAATAAACAAATTATTTATATTTTATCAGGCAAACGGCTTGCAGGTAAAGATATTTTGCCATCGCCTGATCACATCATATACCTACTAAAACGTCCTCTACCGTTTTTTCGCACTTTATGTTCGACGAAAAACAACGCTCGTTTTCAATTACATAATATGGGTGTATTTATTACGATCGCTTTTAGTCTGTGCATACATTTATTTAATTAAATGGATTAAACTAATTTTGAATGTTGATATTATTACCAAAACTAAAACACTATTATGTCCTGCGTCAACAGGTTCAAAAAAAAAAAAAAATAAATTACACATTATAATATCATATAGCATCTGAATACAGTTGACTAATGCATTCAAGTTCGACGTGACCAGCATATTTTCATTCATCTGCAGGTCTATCATTGAATTTTCTGTTCGGTGTTCTCTGTTCYGAGTGCTGTACATGAAATGACAAAATCGGAAATAGTGTTTTTGCCATAGGTTTTTATTAGAAAATTCTGACGACGACAATAGCGCAGCAGTAGACATAATAGGAGTAATGAAAGATCATGATTGAGTAGCTAATGGACGTCTGCACAATGTATACGACTGACAATAATAACGCACGTCACCGCCGACAACTATATAATATAATATACCATAATACTAAAATAATATACCATAATACTAAAATAATATACTAATCCATTCTGAAGACGAAGATGTCGTGATGAGCATCAGTGTTCAGTACTTTAGTACACGAAAGAGTAGTGGGGGCTGTAAAGAATGCGAGTGTTGTGAAAATGAAGCATCTCGCGCTTTTCGCGTTTCAAACGCGTTTCGCTTTTACGCGATGATTTTTATATAAACACTTTGAAATTAACAAATACGACACAMAAATACGTATTATAAATTGGGACAAAGGATCACAATCCTATGACCACCGTGACGATTACGAACTAAGAGTATCTCTAGTTCGTGGTGACGATAGATGACGACCGTGAATTCAGTGATTTGTCGTTCGGGTTACCCGAAATTGTTCGGTGGACCTGCGAGAAACACGGTGACGGCATGTAATATAACGTTCTGATCAATCACCCGCTCGTCCCGCTACCGTTTTTTGGGATACTGCAAACGAGATGAAATCATCAACCCCGCACACGTCTCTCTTAATGGTAGGAACATTAGCGACAAACTACTGTCGAACGGTTCGTGTTCCGAGGTAAAGATTACTCGCAAAACGAATACACACGGAACATCCGTATAAAGCAGTTAACAATCGTTACGGAATAATTACTGCAGGAGACGACTGGACTGACTGGTGTATACCAGGCGCGTAGCTAGAAATTTCTAAGGGGGGGGCAAAATTAATTTAAAAAATAAATGAAGAATTTTTTATACATTTTAAAATTAATCTTACGTAGGTATACGATAGTTCATCATGGTAGTCAAATAATCAATAATTAAGAAGTCGTAAACGTTTTCTTACACACTGCATAAAAAGATATATT